ACCCATGAAATAAAAATAATTGTTTGTACAGAAAGAAAGGACCTATTTACATCAAATTGTCTTTAAATTAAGTGGTGGCAGAAGAATTATTGTTGAACTTTTTAAAAAGTAAGCATAAATATTAATGCAATACTTAAATGCAGTGATCAATTTTGAGTTTTTCTCTAATTTGTTGCCTATAGCATCTACTCTACCCTATCGATTGTGATGAAGGCCCAATCTAGAACCCTCCACGGGAGCTAGCTTAAATGCCACCCAATAGGGAGGATTGTAAGCTAGTAAATAATATATTCAAAAACATTTGTATATGACCAATTTCTCAGTATTTGTCTTTTGAACAACTGTGCATTAAAATCATTGGCATAGGATTTATTCTAAGTTATGGATTGGGCCAAAAAATTTTGAAGAAAAATAAATCTATATTGATCTGATTTTCATATATTACTGTAACATTAAAAAAAAGTAGCATATTGTAGTGAGATCTGCAGTTGCATTAAAATGCCCTAATTTGAGGTATAAAGCTATTTACAGTCAAATTTGCAACTAAATGGTGTTGATTTTTGAAATTCACCTTAATAATAATGATTCAATTTTTGTAGATGGTGCTGAAAAGTTCTTGGCCTAACCATAATATGAGCAAATAATCGAACATCAGACTTGTTAGAGGTTTCTTGGACAGGCTTGATATACATAAAATTGTCATTTACCATATGCCAAAATGAGCAGAATTTTTTCAATAGGAATGCTCAGTCGATATCTAGAGCAATAATTACTATCAATAAAGTTTTACTTATCTAACACCAACTGAAAGTTTTGCAATGCTAGCACTTTTTCAGATATCTGAGCCATCAGAGTAGTAACATTGTGAAACATTTGTAAATCTTTAAAAAAGAATTGCCAACTTATGATAGAAAGATATGGTTAAAAAAAAATTACCCTATCCTTATAATATGAAAAATTAAGTCTTTTCATTTTTTTCTTTTCCTCTTTCATTATGTTATTTCCATACTTTATTACAATTTTTATGAATTGTATGTTAAAATATCAGTTAGCATGAAACACTCCCGATTAAGAATTAGAAATACAATTAAAGCTAGCATTAAATATAGTTGAAGTTTGGTTAATTACAGAGTAGTTTCCCCTTGTTTATTTGCAAGTAAAAGGTATAATTTACAAAGTGACTTGAAAAAAAGCTTAAATATTTATATCTTGCAAGTATTAACCGATGAATATCAAATTTTTGACAAATCTAATCTTCATCTCTGAGTATTAAGAATTAGAAGTAAAGATAGTATTAAATATAGTTGGAGTTTGGTTAAAAAAAAATAAATGCAGAGGAACACATTTTCTTTACTAAGAATCCTGAATGCACAAGCCAACAGATATAATGCAAACTGTTTAAGAAATAAAAATGGGGCATTCATTTCAGAATGAAGTATCCACTAAAATATTATTTGAAGTAATAAAAATTTTAGATTGAAAATATATCAGTAAATTTGTTGAGGATTCTGTTAAGATTTTTTTTTTATATTAAAAATCCAAACATCTGGTTTCCAAATAATAATAAAATAAAAACAAATAAACCATGGATATACGAGTTATCTTACAACCACATCAGTCCTCACTAATGTATCGGTATAATTAATTTAACCTTGTATAATGATTAAAAGAAAATGCAGACAGTGTTATATAACATAATAATACCGAAGGATAAGGTGAACGTTGAAGTTTCAAGAGAAATAGAGAAAAAGGGTCTGGGAGAAAATATATATATATATATATATATATATATATAGTGCAGGTAATATATCCAGGAGTATATAATCCAGGTGGATCCTAGTAATATCAAATATTAAAACTCAATGTATTTATTATAACAGAGCATACATATTTTTTACAGCAAAAATCCAAAATTACCTCATGTGGGTATAGTCTATTTCAGATCAGCACAACTTAATGCAGATCCTCATCAGCCCTTGAATAACAATTACATTTTTTCACAAATGGATTGAGGAACACTACTCAGTGCATGACTGCTAAAACCATTCTGAAAGTTAAAATTAATTTTCAGATAACACAACGATTTGTCTCTGACAATAATGGTTACTATAATATTCATTTTATTATAAACAATACCCTGATGATGACATGGATATATCGAAAGTACTTGGTAATAACACAAATATGTATAAACACAGCGATTTTCTCTCATCTTTCAGTAGTGACAATAAAAAACTTGTCCGAAAATATGAAAGGATCTTAATGAAAATGAGTAGACAGAATGTGTCTAAACTGTACAATGAAACATGTCTTAATGAAATCATACTGTCAGTATATATATATATATATATATATACATACACACACACAAATGTAGTAGCCGTTGCTTGACAATGTGGTGAAGGAAAATATGTTTGTTTTCAATGTAGCAATGACAGTTTAGCTAAGTTCACCATCTAATCATAGAAACATCACATTTCATATCTGTGTATGCTATAATGATTGCAGCATTAGAGAATGGACAAAATTAAATTATCATCTTTAGTTTTGGATGATTTTTCATCTAGTTATTTACACATCTATTGATCCACTTTGAAAAGTGCACTCTGCTTTTCACTTGCTTGCAGCCTTACATTCTGGTTATAAAAGCTTTGTAATTGCTTGCTCAAACTATGGCTTTGTTTGCCTGGTGATTTTAAGTATACATCTATTTTTAGAGATAAGTAAAATTTTGGTCTTCTTCATATTTATTTTTCTTTCTTTCTATCATCACAATATTATAATATATATATATATATATATATATATATATATATATATATATATATATGAGCCTCATGTAAAATCTATATGCAGCTACATTACATAAATTTCTCATCATTATTAAAATCAAAGACCCACTTTTTTAACATATTACAAAACCTCATCTCATAATTGAAAAACTTTCAAAATTTTCTCTAAATGAGAATATTCCCAGTAGAATAAAATTTTTTACCTTAAGTTGTTTCTTTCAATTTGTTTGTCTATTTTATCAACTAAATCAATACTTTTAGTTTTTGCTCATCAACATACAGCATCTTCTCAATTTCAAATGTTGACCCCTAACCTAATAACAAATGTCAATCATAGATTCTATTAAATTACGAACATTTGACAGAATCTTCATGTCTCAAGATAAGATATAGTAAATTTTTTATCAAGTGTTTGAAGTGATGAAAGAAGACAGAAATAAGAACTTTTAAATGGTTTTACTCAATGATTCAGATAAGGGATAAATTATTTTGAATCCTGCAAATAGTAAAATATTTGCAAATCATAAAGTTGTGATCAGTTTCATGAAAAGAAAGTAATCTAAAACTTGGCGGGGTCAACTACCACCCCCAGATCTCATGCAGCCTACCCACACAACAATCATTATTTTGTAAATGTTCATGAAAAAATGTTGATTGCGCACAAAATTCAAAATAGTGTTATAGACAAGCGTATGGTTGCAAGAAAGAAATATGACAACAGCAGAAATAGATTTATGTGACATATTTCAACAGGAATGCGAGGGTTTGGGACAGCTACCTTGTGGTATAGTTCATAAGCCGGCTTCGGATCTAGGTCAATCTCTCATAGTAGTTCACACAGGTTGACACTGGTGCTCCCCTGCTGACAGCTGCTGACCGCTCGGCCTAACCGTGACAGGTCTGTACCCTGGCCACCTGTTGACTGCCTGTTGTATTTCCCTGTGACCCCTTTTATGGCGTTTTTTATGGCTTAACAGGCTCGAAAAACGAAGCGAGTATAATTAGGAGGGAAGCATTTTTATAGGATGAAAAATAGAACACTTTAAATATTATTTTATTTTTCGACTGGAACTCGTGCGTCAGGAATATTTGTAAACGAAGATAATGGTCATTTTGTGATGGGGCTTTGTCCCGTTCACATCCGGCTCTTGCTCTTGAGTATGTTAGTTTATTTGCCTGTAAATCAGCCGAGATATGTCTTATTTTATTTTAAAACAATGACAACAAAAGATGGAAACCATATATTGAACCCTAGTTATCAAGTAACATAGTTTCTATAAAATCTATATATCGTATTATGTACAACCACAGCCACCTGGATCACAATATACTACACTGACCTGATGTCAATATCTAATCATTAGCATAGTGTAAGCTGACCTAGGGATCTAGTTGCCTGTGTATACACCACCTGGAGATGAATATATGACATTCTTTCTGAAGTTTACTATAAACATCTCATGAGATTTATTGAGAATTTTTTATTATTGTAAATGATTTTTTCTCATCTTCACAAATTCCATTAAACGTATTAAATAGAAAACTATTTTCTCATCTATTGGTGCAGTCCATTCACCAAATGTGTCTAATAAGCAAAGAAATGTACAAATAACATGTGCATGTAGGATTGTTATTTATATTATCATTTTGATAGTCATGTAGTTATTGTGATGTGGCCTGCTTTACACACTCATCCTGGATATGACGATAAACTACATCCATCAGCAACACCTCTGATTGGGAGGTTTTGAGGAATATGGAACCACCTCTTCATTACTGGTGTTTCCAGGTCCACACTAACCCAGGATGGTAGCACCTGTTAGGGTCCCAGCTATGGGAAAATAGTGAACCCCTTAAACTGGTGTCAAAACATGAAAATATAAAAATACATTGAAAAAAATTACCAGCAATACATTTTCATATTAAAAAAAAAATTTTTTTAAATACCAGCAATACATTTTTGGAAAGAAAAAAAATTACCAAAGCTCACAAAAAAATAAAATTTTAGCATTAAATGATCCATGAGGAGTTGATATACCATCAAACAAACCAAATCAAATCCCTCTTTACACACTATTCAACTATGATTCAACCCTCCATGAAAAATAATTTCCCAACACTGGTCTTAAAGAAAATCTGTTTCTTTCTCTGATTTTGTGTAACAAAGTTGGTACATTTAATTTTTTACAGCTAAAAACCCCTCAGTGAATGAAGAAGCACAAAAGTCAAATGCTGACTAAAATAATTAAAAACAAAGAACGACAAAAGTTTTCCCAAGGTTGTTCCCCACCGGTTATATATTGAGGGCAGCCATTTTGAATACCTTATCACTGGTAACTGCATTCTTTGTTTCGGCTTCTCTTGACAGGTGGTGCAACATCACCAAACACAGATTTCTCTGTGTGATACATTTTCTGCCCAGAGATTTGTATCCCTTATACAATAGCTTCATTTCTTTCTCCACAATCGATACAATCAATTCTTCCAACCAAATATTTCTCTGTCAAGCTTTCTTTTGATTCCTTCTCTCTCTTGCCCAAGCGATCTCTTCACCTTCTTCTATATCTCTCTTTTCATCTCATGCTCTATTTCTTTGTCCTTCTTTATCTCTCTCTCATTTTTTTTTTGAGTCTCTCACTCACTTCCTCTTTGTACATTTCTTCTTTTGGGTGCATGCATCTCTCCATTTCTCTCACTGTTTATTTCACTCTCTTCTTTTGCATGTTTCTCTCTCTTTTCTTGACCCTCTCACTGTATGTATTTGTTCTTCTTTATCTTTCTCATATTTTGCTTTCTATTTATTCTCCTCTGTGTATCTTTCCCCCTCTCCTTTTATATATATCTTTTCTCTGACCATTTCTTTAGCTTTAATAGGATTAGATAGATTCACCTATTGTCCAGTTCACACTCCTCTATGGTCTTTTAAACTGGAGTAGAGGTTTATCCCTTGTTTCCTGTTTAGGATTAGGCTTCCAGTTCCTTCTAAACTTTATTTCAGCTCTATATTCCTAATGTGTGTCCTTTCCTAGGTTAATGTAATTCCACACAGTAACCCTCTACCTTGAGTGGCTCTTGGGCTTTGCATTGGGTGAATATTTGTAAAAGAAAAAGAAAAGAAAAAAAAAGCTCACTAAGTGTATCTCCCTCTTTCTCTTTTACTACTCATTATTTTATTCCTTATTTACTAATTTGTAATTTTTTTATCATTGGAATCAGGCTGAGGATTATAATCTTACCAAGTCAACCATTGCAAACCATTGTGATGGAACTTGTTGACAAAGAATCTCTACTAGAATCATCTTTGTCAACAGCCTTGCAGGAAGCACTGCATTCAGTGAGAGAAGCCATCTCTTGTTTTTGCTTCAAGTCATTTGCGTGTCTGAGTTCTCAAGAACATATTCAGCCACCATTTTATTATTTTGTTTCTCACCGATTCAATTCTAAGTATCTCTCCTCCATTTTTGCTTTTAAAACATTTTCTATTTTTGAACATCTGTAACTGACAACAGAGAAGCTAGCCTAAATATTTTCCTCTAATTTCTCTCTTTACATTTTTTATCCATATTTAAAAAAAAAAAAACTGCTTCCCATTAATTCCAATAATAAAAAAGAAAACCTGTGTTACGAGTGAATATTGTCTGCAGATCAAACTATACTGAAAAAAGGAGAGAGAAAGAAATGAGAAATATAACAGCCATATTGAATAAGTGGTGAGCTATAAAGTGAGTATTTATTTATTTATAAGTGTTTCACTTCTTTTTCATTGAATTTTCTTTCTTTCTTTTACTCCTATCTGCTTGTCCCTTCCATTTTATTCAAGAATCAAGGGAAAATGATCTTAGTAATTGAAGAGTTCCCTCTTTAATGACAAATTACATTTGACCTTCCCAGGTTTAGTGCAGTCACACTTCAGACATTATTTTATTGGACTTTACAGCCAAATGGGGAATTTTAATGAAATTTCTTGAACTGAAAATAAATCAGTTATTTGCAAGAATTTCCATCATTTTTCTTTTTTTGATGATCAAGGCAAGCATTGTCAAAGGTTGTGGTGCATTATCAAAAAACTGTATGAAAACTAAAAGCTTTTATTTCTGATATTATTTTTATTATTATTACTTTTATATTTTATGCATTTGAATGTTCACACCAGATCTGGTCTAGAGCTAGTGGAAAAAAACAAAAAAAAAAACTAGATATTCTTGACAAAATCCAAAGAAGTATCTGCAATGTTATTGGTCCTGACATGGCATCTTGGCTTTCAGTCACCACAGAAATCTAACTTCTTGTTGCCTTTTCATGAGTTAACCATTTTCTTTTAATTTTTTAACAATTTTTAGGCCTTAAATTCTGATGCTTGGGGAACATTTGTCACTTTAACTTCTGATGTCTGGAGGGTCTATGCCACTTTAACTTCTGCAGATTGTAATTAATTTCTACTAGACTTATAGTTGATCAGGTTGAATGGAAAATTTAAGTTCTTTTGGGGAATTTTGACTCCTCACTATCAATAAGAGTTTCTAGGCCTAAACGTGTATATTTTTTTTTATTAGAAATGTGAATATTTTGTTTTAATCTACGTCTTAAGCAGAAACAATATTAATACAGTTCTATAATTGACCTGAAACACATTCAGAGTACAAAAACCTCAAGTGTCCACATGATTATTATATCAGCAAGAAAATATAATTGCTTCTTGGCCTTTTGGCTGAGATCAAAGTGTAGTTTCAGTTCTTATCAGCTTAATCTGATTCTCTCTACACTATTTTTTTTTTCTTTCTCCCCCCCCCACTGTGCTTGAAAATGTGAAGCATTGGCATTTGATTATTCAGGGACATTTTACAATGTTTCAAATGATCTGAAAACATTTTTACCAATTTCCAGTTTGGTAACTGTCATTCAGTTTTTTTTAAATTTTGTCCTCTTTCCAAAATGAATAACTTGTGTAATGATTATTTTAGATTATTCACATGTGAAAGTCTTATGAAATGTAATCCCATAGCTTGTGAAAGTATAATTATAGACTCAAATAAACAACCATGTCATTTATAGAAATTATCTTACTTGTTGCCTATTGTGGCATGTTGGGGCTTCCTTACTTTGCTTGATTCAGCAGTAGCAGCAATGGAAGTAATCAGCAGGGTACAACCGGAAATCTCAGAGATCATAAAAATGCTGACTGAGCCTTATTTGCTCTCTTTTCTACTTTTCCTTTTCAGTGGCTGCAACTTTCAAGGCCCATCTTAAAGGGATACTCACAACCCTTGCTGCAGAAGATATGTAGTCTGAACTAGCAGCTGATAGTTATTTTAAGAAGTGGGTACAAATGAAAAGATTTGAAATTGACAATTTTTTTTTCATTTTGAATACTTATCTTCCCTTTATTCTTTCTTTCATTTTCTCACTGAAACCAAGTAGTGTCTTTTCCTTTATTTTCATTCAATCAAAATAGTCCATTACTTATGAGGTATTGGCAGATTTAACATTTTTGTCTTATTGCTTTCTTTGTTTCTAGTGAAATCCCTATCTTACAAACATTTCTCTCAATAATAATTTGGCAGATGATGTTATTTAATTTACGGTAATAATTTTTTCTTTATTACCTTATTTGAATTCTGTTGTTTGATACTGTGCAACTGAAAAATGGTGCTTTTATCACAGTCACCATAGCATTTTGGCCTTTTGGCTGAAATCAAAGTCTAGAGTCTGTGGGTAAACTATGTTTAATCTCTCAGTTGTATCTCTGTCATTGGACAGAGCGCAACTAAAATATTATTGAGATATGCACAGTCTCTGGAAACAACTGCAAGTGGCAGTAGTACCTCCCTCATTGAACTAAAGAGGGGAGATCTATAGTAATACTGATGTCAGCACAATTGACAGTTGCAGAGGCTGAACTATTTTTGGACCTGGCCCGTGTGCATGCTCTTGGGCACCTCACATTAAACTGACCTTTTGCTACATCCTTCCAGCATGGGGCAGCAAGAAAATATAATTGCTTTTTGGCCGAGATCAAAGTGTAGTTTCAGTTCTTATCAGCTTAATCTGATTCTCTCTCTACACTCCTATCTTCCCTTTTTTCTTTCTTTCTTTCTTCCATTCATTTTCTCACTGAAATCCAATAATGTCTTTTCCTATCTTTCCATGCAATCCAAACATGGAATAGTCCATTATTTATGAGGTATTGGCAGGATGTAATGTTTGTTCTAACTAACAAAGAGTGGGACAAGTACAATTGTAAAAGGATATTAAAATTCCAAGTTTGCAGAAACTCTCTTCAGGCGTCTCTTCTGGGGTAAGATAAATCAGTTCTATTGATTTATATATTTCATAAAAATACAGTCAGCAGATAAATATGCTTTTAAATGCAAAACGGAAAAAAAAGTCAACATTCTTTGTAATGCACTTCCACACAAAGAAAAATATACGACATACGAGGTTCATTCAAAAAGTATGGACATACAAGGTTCATTCAAAAAGTATCTGACTTTATTTTCTCCCACCAAAACTGATCCTGTGTTGGCAAAATCCTTTGAATAAAAGGTGATGCCACCCTTTCTGTGCATATGGACAATTTTGGCACAGAGAGGCAGCATCAGTTTCTGACTGTTATACCTAGAGTACTTATCAAATTTTCATTTTCATGCAAGATGACCAAACACATCAAGCAGTGATATTGCATTAAGTTTTGCCAAAAGTTTAGTGATACTCTAGCTCAAACTATCCAGAAGATTCAGCAAGCTTTTGGTGATGATACCATGAGTAAAACTCAGATCAAGGAGTGGTACAAATGCTTAAGATAACTTTTTCAATGTTTGTTTAAATTAATCAATTAAAAGCTTAAAATTTTCACTTGTTTGTTGATAAACTACATTTTCTAATTAAATGTTTTGCAAATATATTTCAATTAAAGTAACTGTATTTTATATTTTTTTTAACCCTTTTGTATCTGGTCTTAAGATTTTGACCAGAAGTGTAAATTACAAATCAGTCTAAGCACAACAGATATTAAATTTTTGTGGATTTTGATGTCATTCTGGATGTTTTTTCGTCAAAATTTTTCAATTTGTTTTGCTCAAACTAAGGCTAAAAAAAAAAACAAACCATATAAAATTTGCTATTTTTAATTCATAATGTTGAACGTGTTACAATTATACAACTTTTTGAGAAAAATCTCAAGTTGGTGCTAGAAATTGCTACAAAACATTGTTAATTTGTTTAAAATGGAATGTTCTATTATGACATGTCTCTAATTTGTATTTAGATACATTGTATTTATTTAAAATTTTTCTAGTTGTGTTGTTCACCCATATTGCATCTGATCCATTATTGTACATAATTAGGTTAGAATAAAATTTTCATTTTAATTGAGATATAGTAGTGTGACCCCCACCCACTCATAGCATAGGGTGGAGGCATGAAAACCATCCAACAGCCCTGTTGATGGGGACTTTCTAGAGCACATGATCATGGATAATGAAACTTGTAATGCATCACGTTTCCCTGGGGACAAAAGATGATTCCATGACTTGGAAGCATTCACTATCACAGACCCCCACCCAGGCAAAATGTTATGACTGTAAAAACAAAGATAAGGACATTAGTCTGATTGTAAGCAAGTAAAATGTTTTATTTATATAATAATGAATATGTTGAATTAGTAGATGTTTCTACTTTACAGACATTCCTTGCATTATAATAAAAAAGAATGTCTTTTTAAAAGACTATTGAAATATAAATACTTTAGAATTCTGTAAATGTTTTTGTTTTTTCTCTAAGTTGTCATCAACATGGTTAACATTTTGTAAAGGATGAGAAATTGTTCTCAAATTTTAAATAATTATGAACAGTCGTTAAATTGCCAGCAAAAATGAATATTAAAGAGAATAAAATGAATATTGAAGAGAATAAAATTTTATCTCACAAAAGGAACAAAAAAATTTATTTTAACCAAAAAATAATATGAAGTATCCTATAATTGTATGTAGGTCTTTTTGTTGGTATGTATATAAGTATTTTGGCTCATATGCATATATGTAAACATTTTTGTTGGTATGTATATATGTAAATTTGTGTATGTGTACATGTAAGTGTTTTTATTGATATGTATATATGCACAGTAGAGTAATTGATAGCAGCTTGGATTGAGTTTGAATTTCAGTCAAATCCATTACATTCACTTTCAAGCTAATACCATTGGGAAAGATATGAAACCTCTTCCTCTTCCCCCAGTTATAAGTAAATAGCATGACAGACCAGCTTCTATAGTAACTAGTCTACTACAGATAAGAAATGGCAACCTACTGTGGGAAAGAATCTGCCTTGTCTCTCATGTATATATGTTTGCCTAAGTGTCTCATGCATGGCACATAACTGATATATGCAAATGTTTTCATTCATATATATGTATGTATTTTCAGTGGTATATTCTAAGTTTCTTAAAGCCATTGCAGATGTGTAAAAAATGCAGTTCATTTTGTCACATTAGTGAGGGAACATACAAAAAGTCCGTGTCTGTGTGTGTGTGTGTCAGTAATAGGTATAAAGTATAAAATCAAAGCTAAATATTACTATTGACTGCAATTTAGTATATGGTCTTGTATTCTGGTTTGTTTTGAAACTGATTCAAGTTTTTTTTTTTTGATGATGAAGATGATCAACGAAAGAAGTAAAAATGGATAATGGTTTGTTGTGCATTTCTTTTGATTCATCTTACTAAAAAAAAAAAAAAGAAGACTACATCCACCAAGAACAAATGTTTCTACCTGCAATACCAGCACCAGATTCTAACCATTTTGAAGTGGGACTCTATTTGGAACAAGGATATCTTGGACTAGGACACTATTCCAAACAATATATGTTCCACTTTCCACAGTGATAATTGTGATGGTTTGGCCAAGATTGCTGTATTCCAGATAATGTCCTCAGCCCTTTGGGTACCTCATTAAATGGTACTCACAGCTACATTACAGTGATGTTTGCAAATGTAGCCCAAATCTGCAGATATCAGAATGGACTTGCCATGAAGCAGGTTTTATGTTCAATTAGCAACATAGAAAAAGACAAACAAACCTGACTATGGTCAAAATGGAAGAAGAAAAGTGCTGAAAACCCACTGTGTCCAGGACTGCAACTAAAAAAAAAAAAAAAAAAATTGTCTTTTTTTTTTTTTTTTTAGCCATATGTTTAACTGTTCCACATCAGAGTGTGTCCTCAATGAGTGCATCCGTTGTCTAAAGCGACAAAGCCAAAGATTGATTTATTGATTAGCTTGCATAATAATTTCACAATACATTAAGTCTCAGTCCAAACAAGAATACGATAAAAACAACGTTACACATAATATTTCAGTCATAAGACTGATGTCCTTGAGTGAAAAGAGTTTTTCAATTTCTTTTCATCTTGTTTTTCCTTCACAAAATATTTTTGATTTTTCTCTTAAGATTTTCAGAAAAAAATGCCAATATTATTTGATTGCCCAGTGACAGAACCCAAAGTGTGTGAGTTCAATACCTGGTGGAGAACTTGGAGAGGGGAATTAAACAGGAGATAATTGATTCTGTGGACTGATCATAGAAATTTGGCAACAGTCGATTGATATAAGCAATGTTTTACATTTTCTTTATGCACTGATATTTTGAATATTATTGACTGCATTATTTACATTATTCCGCATATTGTCCTCATCTTTGTCACCACATTTATCACAATGTTTCGGCCGTTGTACACTCCGGCCTTCTTCAGGTGGTTGGAATGTCAAACTGAACCCTTTATTTCGCTCACCGGGGTAAACTGTTCTAGTTCCACGTTGTGATAAATATGGCGACAAAGATGAGGACAATAGTCCGAATAATGTAAATAATGTACATAATACCTCATCTCAGAAATATTGACTACATATATTTTTCTTCTAAAGTAAAAAAGAAGAAATACAATTTTTTGGATGAATGAAAATGCTAGAAAGATTTTGTGGTGTAATTTAAAGGTTTTGATAGAAATATAATCAGTTTGTCTTTGTCCAAGAATTCTTCTTTAAGTAAAATGTGTTAACAGATCTATTGTCAGTAAGTTTCTCAAAGAATTTGACAAATAATTATCTGTTTTTTTTTTGTTTTTTTTTGGCTATTTTTCTCTTGAAACAAAAGTTTTTATTGCAAATCCAATCATTCTAGCTGCTGATCCACTTTCTACATTCTGGGAAGCAATTCTCTGACTGGGAGACACCTACAGTTCCAGTCTGCAGAAAAGAGACAATAACATAGAATCAAAAGTCTCTTTGATTGCCAGGCCATTATATATACTGTCAATGGGCAAAAATTTTCCTCTCTTATGTGGCCTTCACGGTCCTGAAGTTTTGCTTCTTAAATCTCCATTTATAGAACTCTGAGGCCAACAATAGCAAAAATATAAAAACATAAATGTTCAACAACTTACCTAAAATCTGAAAGAATATTGTGGACTGTTCTAGAATACTGACAATATGTGATGATCTTGAGTGAGAAGTGTGAAAATTCAATGTGAATATCTGAACAAGGATAGACAAACTAAAGAAATATTAAAAACATTCAGTTCATAAAATAAAGAGATTCAATGTAGATAGCAAAAAGCATTCTGGGATATTGAGTAGACTTCCTGTCACTTGAACATCAGCAAAACACAGAAGATAATAAACTTTACTAAAGTGATAATGATTAAATATGTTATAGACAAGCGTATGGTTGCAAGAAAGAAATACAACAGCATAAATAGATTTAAGTGATTTATTTCAACAGGAATGTGTGGGTTTGGGACAGCTACCTTGTGGTAAATTTCATAAGCCGGCTTCGAATCTGGGTTGATCTCTCATAGTAGTTCACACTGGTTGGCGTGGCGCTCCTCCTGCTGACTGCTGCTGACCGCTCATCCTGACCATGACAGGTCTCTTCCCTGGCCTCCTGTTGACTGCCCGTTGTACTTTCCGTGTGACACATTTTATGGCATTTTTTTATGGCTTAACAGGCTCGAAAAATGACGCGAGTATAATTAGGAGGGAAGCATTTTTATTGGTCGAAAAATAGAAACACTTTAAAATATTATTTTATCTTTCGACCGGAACTCGTACATTGGGAACATGCGTAAATGACGATAATGGTCATTTTGTAACGTGGCCTTGTCCCGTTCACATCTGGCTCTCGCTCTTAAGTATGTTAGTTTATTTGCCTGTAAATCAGCCGAGATATGTCTTATTTTATTTTATAACAAATATTTATTAAAGCAATAACATTGAATATAATCATTACAATTACTTGAGCAAGATAATCTATCTCCTTTCTTTATTTAATAATAATAATAAGTGAAGTAAAATAATTTTGTTTATCATTGTCAAATAATAAATAATTGTAAGAATCTAGAATATTCTCTTTAAGGCAAGATTAGGGTTAATTGTATATTTTCAGCTATTTTGTTATAAGGATGAAAAGAATCATTTTTGTTTTAAATTATATTTGAATTTTTTCCTTCCTTTGACTTGGTTGGTTTAATTATTTTTTAAGTTTTTCAAACTTTTTGTTTCTTTCTCTCTCTTAATTATATTCCATCTTTTACTCCTCCTCTTTCTGTCCTGATTACTTCTACCCACTTTTCTTGCATACCCTTTATCAAATTTTTCCTCTCTATTAATTATATCTTCTTTCACTTCACTTTTTTCTGTTTCTTATCCCCATTTTTCTTGCATTCTCTCTCTCTCCTCATATCCCACTTATTTCTTCATAATCATTTTCGTTTTATTCTTTATCTAATCCATTCTTTATTTTCTCCTAGAATCTATTTCTATAAAATCTTGGTCTCTTTCAACTCCTTTTTACTTGTGTTTGTCTTTGCTCTTCCCAGTAATTATTTTTCCTTTGTGCAGGCTTCGCCCACCAGGTGGCATGAGTATAGCTTCTTTATTGTACAAGTCAAAGAAACTCAGCAGGAATTGTTCCATTGTATCTAGAAGGAATTGGAAGAAGATTAAAGTTTGTCTTGTGCCAATGTTCACACCTCTCTCACTGCTGCTGGTGATGACAATGATGATTCTGATTATGTCTACATAGGAATGATTATTAATAATAATGTTGATTCGCCTGTAATGGGAATAAAATCATCATAAAAATCTGTGAGATAGAAATACATTTTTGTCCTAATTTATGAGACCCTTCTTCATCTACAGTTAATATTACTGTAATATTGAGTCAGGCTACATATTGGTTGCTATGGCATCTCATAAATCAATGAGATAATTTCGCACATAAGATATTTTTGGAGCTCTCCCCCACTTTTTTAATTAAATGTAGTCTTATATGATCGATCGATCTTGGGATTCATAGTGGAGGGGTTTCCTGTTGCCTTCTCCACCATAATTTTATTGAGACACCACCTCTAATTAGCTGGATGTTGATGTATCTAGAGTTCTTCTGCTCTTTGATGAGACGTATTTTTTTTCATCCTACATTTCTAATCATTCACCTTATTTCTAATGATGTGGGACAGAGGAACCAGTTCAGTCATGGACCATCCAACAAAAGATGTCATATATAGTCATCTGAAGGTTACGCGAGTGTGAAACTCAGGTTATGACTAGGGCCATCCCTCTATAGGAATTAATGTTGACAAGTGTTTTTTTGCTCTGTCTAGGCAAGCTAGGTGTTAAGCACTTTACTGAGTAGGTAATATTTGAGACTTTATCTAGATAAAGATTTTAAGTTTTGGCAAGTTGTTTGTTGGTTCCATCAATGGTTTTGTTTTTTCTCTAATCATATATATATATATATATATATATATATATATAAAGAAATATAGTCTTAAGGTGTGCTATATTTATGGGATAAAGTGCTCAATATCAGAGATAAAGCATGTGTAAATATAGAAGGCTTGGAGGCAAAAATAGCTATCATTACCTTTCCAGACCAAAATAAATTATTCAATAAAAGATCTGAGCTCATCTCAAAATGCAGACATGAAGACAAATTTTTACTACGTTACTTAAAAATCGAAAACTAAAAAAAAAAATAAAAAAAAAAACAAAAAAAACAAAATGACAATAAAATAAGTAAAATAAATTAACCCAAACAAATTACCAAATCACACCCATTAGAATAGACGAAATAGAATAAATAAATAAAAAGTAAAAACAACATCAATGAACCCAAATAATAAAGTAAATAATAAACAAATTAACAAACCATTATGACCAAAATATTAGTTAAATTATAAAAATCAAACCAAAAATCAGAGGAAAAAAATAGCTATAACTGTTATATAAATAAAAAAAAAAAAAAATAATACGTTATTTAAAAATGAAAATAAAAAAGAGTAAATAAAAATATACAGTATAATAAATAAATAATAAAAAACAAGTAAAATAAATTAATCTAAATTCATCCAAATAAATAAACAAACTAACAAATTATTAAATTAACTGTTAGAAAAAACAAAAAATCTAAAAAGCAAATAAAAATAATCAATCCAAATATATACACAAAGTAATAAACAAATTAAAAACTGTTCTCCCCAAAAAATAGTTAGAATAAACTACAACAATCAACCCCAAAATTGAATAAATAGCTTTAATTATCTTCCCAAACCAAAAAAAAACTATTAAATAAAGATATATAATAAATTTTTTACTACGTTAATAAAAAAACACCGATTAAAAAAAAAAAAAAAAAAAAATAAATAAATAAGAAATAAAAAAAAAAAAAATAAAAAAAAAAATAAATAAAACAAGCAAAATAATTTAACCCAAATAAATAAATAAATAAATGACTTCTGGTAAAATGACTGCCAAATAGACTACCCACAATGCACCACTGACCCGTATATATAAATAGCCGAGAAAAATAACAGCACTCATGGCCTGACGATTGCATCTAGCGTGAAACAGACTGTTGCCTCTAAGTGTTGACTTCAATATTCACTTATATATATATATATATATATATTATATTCATCATTTTGAAAAATTATTTGATATATATATAAAATATATATATATATAAATATATATAAACAAAATCTGACAATATATTGATTTTATCTTAAATTTAGAAAAAAAATGAAAAGTTTTTGACAGGCTTAATGCACTGGTTGACCAATGTGGCTTTTTCTATATTTACTGGAAAAGATGGATGCTAAATTGTTTTTGGTTTGACACTCAATTCTGTGCCAGAAATTCATAATCTGAATAGAAAATATAATTTTTGAATGGTGAATAAAATTTTATTTTAGTTTGATATAATTAAGAAGAATAAAAAGTAATCAAGTTGTTTTCATTTTGTAAAATGCAATTTGCAAAATTATTTAAGTATGCTGTCAGTTTTTGATGGCATGGTTAAACCTTTGAGATATAGGATCTAAATAAACCAATATGAGCTGAGAAAGACTGACAGAAAATTGCTGACTTTACTATCAGCTAGAACAAAGAAATAATAGCCAAACCATTCAGAAGAAATGACCAGAAGTAATTAAAACCTTAGTGACCATGTGTTGGGGAGAACTGCTATTATATACTGGTATTGTCATAGATGACAAGATGGCCTGAAGATTACATTTCAGTATGAAACAGATTGTTGCCATTGGGTAGTGACCTCAATATCCACTTTTATATCATACATGTGTGTACATGTAACAATATGGAACCAGAAAATATCGCTGATTTTGGAAGACAATAAACTGTACTGTATAGTTTGAAATGGTTAAAAAGAAAATATCAATTCCCTCACCCTGGGCTAGAAAAGTGTAGTGACTCGGAGCTGTGAGTCCAGGATGATAATCATCAAAATTTGAAATAATAGGTGTTTTGAACCACAAGCTGGCCTGATCAGAAGTTGAGAATTGTCAAAACCATAAAATTGCTGGGAGCATAATAAAAATGCAGTAAATGCATGTGCATAAGGAGACCCTGGGAGTTGGGGATCCTCAAATTGTGTATATTGAAATTGAAATGTCCCAAGTGTGAAGGTAGGATTGCCTACAGGGAAACTATGTGATTAGTAATGAGTTGTTGAAAACTATCACTGAAAAAAAATCATGTGGTCAGTATTGATCAGTCGGGCTTAATCATGGCTGGTAGGGAATTTGGCAAAATTCCTATTTATTCAGAAGTCAGAGCAGTCATCACAAGAATTTCAGACCTTTTTACCAGACCATGCTGGAATCAGAGCAATTCCCAGCATTAATTACCTTTTGCCAGACAATCTGTAATTTGACTAGTATGGTCTATTTCACTCTGCAGATTTCTTGAATACATCTTTTCTAGGATCTAAATAACACAATGTGGACTGGCAAAGACTAATAGATAATTACTGAATTGGCTATCACCTGGAACAAAGAAGTTGTGGCCAAACTATCGAGAAGAAATAGCCAAAAGTAATGAAAACCCGAGTGACCATGGGTCAGAGAGAAGGGGTATTACAAACTGGTGTCATGATAGACCTGGATACTATCTCAGAATTGTGTTAGCAGGGCCAGATTATATTTATATCTCTAACAGAAAAAATAATATATATGTTGGTCATACTACTACTACATTGTCTCGAGGGTTGATCTTTCATTTGAATGATGCATCAAACATATAACATTTGCAGCAGCATGCCTTGTCTGTATTCACAATTTAGGAAAATTCTTGTTAAAAATACGTCTATACTTTTTCATGAAAATAATAATCAAACTAAAAATTCTTGAAGCTATTTATATTAAAAAATTGAAACCAACCCTTAATGAAATTAATTATGAATACTGCACAAATGTTCTAGAATGTTTACAGTAGATAGTTTAAAATATCTAGGTTTTAACTAATAGTTTTAAATAGTTTTTTAAAAAAAACATCTGGACATATAACTTAGTTACCTACCCTCACATTTACATTGTTAAATTTAAATTGTACAGTACATAACCTTAGCATTTCTCACTTCACTGGTAAAATATTTAACTTTCAGATGAACACAATTTTTATCTTAGAAAAAACAACACCCTGATGATGATATTGTGCTAATGTCAGAAGTACTCGGAATAAACGAATGTGTATCAACATGGTAATTTTCTCTTTTTCTTTAATAAAGATACTAAGAAGCTTGTCTGTGATGATGAGAGGATCCTATTGAAAATAAGTGGATAAACCTTGTCTAAGTTATTTAATGAGACATGTCTTAATGAAAACATGCTGCCAAAATATACACTATATATGAGATGTTGAGGATGCAGCAGTCATTATAACAACATTTTGTTGCTAGGTAATAAAAGAGATCAGTTTTTCAAAAGGCAGACTCTTCTCTATTAGGCATTTTAGAATGCCATGGAGAAGTTGATTCATGCCTTCTTAAAGATCATTAGCATGATTTGGAAATGCCTTGCTGGTTATAGTTTCTCTACTCATAGCTATAATGTGACTTTCCTGTTCCTTAAATGAAAATATAAAGACAACACAATTGCTGCAGTCATGATGATGAGCAGGGAATCTGGTAATACCCAGTTATTGACTGAAAAATTGCTTGATAAAGGAAGAAGCTCAACATATTTTCATTTTGGACTCTTCTAAATAGATTAAAATAAAAAACATATTTGAGTGTTTTAAGTCTTTCTCTACAATGTCATAGCAGATTAAAATGTTGGAGTGAAAACTCTACTAGACAAAAACAAGAAATATTTCCAGTCTAAACTTCAAAATTTTCCAGCATTTTCTGTTGATTGCAGTAGAGAGGCAAAAAGACAATGTTAAGTAGAAAAGATCATTTTTATAAATGAAGACACTGAAAAAGTTCTAAAGGAAAACTAAATAAAACCTGGTAAAAGCTTAAATTTAATCCAATAATAAAAAATACTGACAAATTGAAATTATAATGACTCTAAATAATTGGTATAAAAAACCTTACCTGAATGATAGGTTCAAACAAGTGATGTAAAATCCTTACCTAAATGGATTGGAATATGGTTTTATTTTCAATTCCAGATGCATATAAACAACACTTATTTATATATTGCAAGAATGTATTGATGATATAATTACATCTCTTGTTTACAACATTTATTTTTATATTGCAAGAATGTATTGATGATATAATTACATCTCTTGTTTAATTAAAGAAGTTAATTATGATAACAAGATCTTGAAGATTGTAGATATTAAATTAAAGATCTCTTAATTTTAGTTTTGTATTTTTAAAATTATTTTACCCCCAAGCAAGATAATAAAGCCACTAAGATGCAAGGAGATTACAAAAGTTGTAAAAGAGATGGTATGAAGCAAAGCAACAACAGATGAGAACTTATTAACAACTCATTATATCTGCTAAATATGCATCTTTGACAGACATACATTTTATTTGGAATATGACCTCAGCATGTGGAGAAGTATCAGATCAGTTACAAATTTTCTATGAGCATTTCTTTTATCTTAATTATCACAGATTAATTTCAGGAATGTTGTGAGTTTCATTCTCACCACGAGGCTATTCTTTATTTCTAATCTAAGGAAAATGGAACCAAAATGAACACTAAGTATCAGAATCAGAAAGAGACATTTGAAACTTAATGAGGAAGGAGGGTTTGAAGAATTTGATACTCACACAACCTCAAAGAGACAGGAAGAAAACAACATCTACAGGAAGAGCTTGTGTGAATGGATGGCAGAATGAAGAATGGAAGGAATAGCAAAAGATAAATGTGAAGAGCTATAAGGTATAGGAAGTTGTGGAGAGCCATGTCCTAATGAGATATGGTATATAGAAGAAGAATCAAACACCCATATACATATCACCAGAGAGAGAGAGGTTTGTTTGGAATATTGCATCAAGGCAGGAAAATGAGTCATTATGCAGTGTTGATTCCTATTGTCTATTTTTTCTCTCTCTATCTATCTATATATATATATATATATGTATATGTATTTATAGAGATATAAACATCCAAATAAGTTTTATTAAATTCAACTAACAAGAGCTGACTTTTTAACTTTTTATTGTATTTTTCCAATTTTGAAATAAGTTGTCTATCAGGATCAAAATTGTGGATAAACTGTCTGAATTTCATGTTTGTTCTATTGCTTTTGTTCAAGAACTTTTGGTCATCTCATTCAGTATGAAGAAGTATGCGTTGTAGACAAGATTCTGTTGGCTACATCCTGGTATCTTATAGAGAGCTGAAGATTTTGAAACAGTTGACAAAATGACGTGCAACAGTTAAAGGAAACAATTTATATCATCTTATTCAAAAATTGGGCAAATACAGTAATTAAATACAGCTTAAATTCCATCAAACAGACAGGCTGAGTTGATGGAATTTTATATATATATATATATATATATATATATATATATATGAACTGGATTAAGTCTGACAATTATCTAATATATTTTCTGTTTTTTTATACATTATTTTTAATAGATACAATATATTTAAGTAAATGCTCTGTTTTTTTAAATAAACAGTATTAATTACATTTACCAGACTGAATGTTCAAGAAATTTTGTTGAAAATATACATTCTCTGACAGGAATCAAACCTGTTTCCTATTTGGAACTGTCAATTGATCTGACATGCTATACCACTCAGTTACAGAAAAATCATTTGGTTAGCAAAGTTCAAATTACTGTTTGTAAACAACAAATCTTCAATGATCTTTCCCAAATGATTATATCTGCTCACAAAACATATCTCTACATATGTATGTCAATCCAGTAAATGTAATTAATACTGTTTACTTAAAAAACAGAGTATTTGCTTAAATAAATTGTATCTATGTGGACATAAACTGATGGGATCTACAGTTAAACAAGGACAGTACACTCAAATGCACAGTCATGATGACAGTTTTGTCTCCCCAATTTCACTCACGTGGCTTGGGTCAATCTGTGATTTTGGCTTTCAGGCACATCCCAAAGGTGCCACATACTGGGATCATATCCGCAGGTTTATATTATCAAGAAGTCACCTCCTTGATGAACTGTGTAAAAGTTGAACTTGCCTTTCATCATCTTCTATGTACCACATCTCTTCAGGACATAAGCTATCATGGCTCTCCACAACTTCCTGTCCTTTGTGCCTCTTAATAATTTCTCTCTCTTTGGTAAGGCTCAAGCCCCAAACATACTTCCCCCCACCACTCAACATTTTTCCTTCTTTTTACACAAGCATGTCAGATAAGAGTCCCCATCTCTCTTGCTTCAATATCACTTGTCCCCATACTATCACTTGTAAGGGTTAAGTTTTCAAAGCCTTTCCATATATGTCCATCCAAGAAATTTTAGCTCCCTTTTTCTGATTCTGAGTTGAAGTGCTCTTTCTGTTGCCATTTTAAGAATTCCTTGTTGCTTATTTGATCTGTCGATGGAATTTTTAGCATTCTTCTGTAGAACCACATTTCTGCTGCCTTCTGTTTTTTTCCTCTATCCTCAAGGAGACTATCCAGCATTCACTGTCATATAAGATGAAGGATAACAATAATCCAGTACTGTTTTTCCAATTTCTACATCTTTGGTGTTTTTCTCTTGTTGATGGCCATTCTTTCTGTCTACTACTACCCTGTCTTGGAGGTCCTTTTAGTTTTCTTTATCAGTTGGCCATCAACACACTGTTAACTACATATCTTATATTGTTAAGATTACCCCCATGAATAATAAATCATGATAGGGTCTCTAATTCCCTTAGCATAACATCACTGAGATGATCAGAATGCTATATATAAGGATCCATTCTATTTACAGTAGTGTAAGAGGAATTCTGTTCTTTGACATGTATTTGGCATTTGCTATATGCAACTATAAAGATTACAATTTTGATGTCAGTGTTTGAAAGAGCTGATTGGTTAAAAATAATTGTGATTACTTAAAAAGAACCAATGAAAATTATTGCTATCATGATTTCTTTTTCAATCACTGCCAAAATACAATAATCTAATTTCTGTCTGAATTACTGGGATGAGGAGTTGCGATTATTTTCATTCAGATTATTGTCCTAATTTTCGTTCTTTTTAGCAGCCTTCATCAGGTGTACATTGATCTGGGTAACATTCAGGCAATTCTGAACTGAATTATTTACACTATCTATATTCGGACTATTGTCCTCATCTTTATTGTTGATATCATAACATTTTGGCCTTTGTACCATCCGGCCTTCATCAGGTGTATATCGATCTGGGTAACCTACAGATAATTCTAAATTCAATCATTTATTTGATCGACTGGGGTAGACTGTTCTCATTCCATGTCTAGGGATATTTTGTCTAGTTCTTATTTTTTATTATTACTCAGTTATTGCTAAACCTGTTTCAAAGATCCAAGCAGTGTGAAGTTGGATTCAGCAGAAACAGGGCAAGCAATAACTGAGCCGTACTAAAAAGGAGAACTGGATGAGATATCCGTAGACATAGATTGTGAAAAAAAAAAAACAAAAAAAACAGTCTACCTATAGATTAAACAAAGGGTTCAGTTCAGAATTCTCTGTAGGTTCTGGATCAATATACACCTGATGAAGGCTAGAGTGCAAAACATCCGAAACATTGTGATAATACTACCAAAGAGGAGGACAACAGTCTGATAATCTAGCTGATAATCTTCATGAGATAATCTGTGTTAATATAAGAATGAAAAGGATATGGAAAAAGACTGATGTTTTGTTTCTTGATAATGTAATAAAAATTATAAAGGTAAAGACATTATCAAAATGACACTTAAAATAATTGTTGTAGTTTATTGTATTGAATGATGGAAAGAAACAAGAATGTGATAAAGAGGAACAGATTGAGTAGATAATTATTTCAAACCTGTTTTCTAGTTTGCTGCTGCTGGCAATTTTGTATGTAAAGAAATAGAAATGATCTTGTAGTGATCATGATTGTTGAAGGAGGAGGTTGGAAGATTATGATGAAAAGAAGAAAGGAATTGGAAGGGGAGTTGTTGCTGATAATGATTGGGGCAATGATTACTTGGGAGAGAATGATTTCCAAAAGGCGAGGAAAAGACAAGGGATGCTAATAATAGTTTTTGGTAACAATGCGCTTAGAGTACGAATTTAAAAGGGGAAGTCATATTGGGTGATGACTGCAGTGGTGGGGAGTGGAAATGTGTAGGAGGAATGGGGGGCGGGGGGGGTGAAAGAAATTAGACTGTAGAGGTGGGAGAATTCAGATGATATTGTTACTGATAAAGACAAAGAAGAAAACAATGAAGCACAAAAAGAAGGAGAGTGAATAAGAGAGAGTGAATAAGTGATAGAGAGGGAGAGAGTGAATAGAGGAAGTGATTGAGAAAGAGGGAGAGAGTAAATAAGGGTAAGTGATTTCGAGAGAGAGTGAATAAGGATAAGTGATTGAGTGAATAGAGTGAATAGGGCAAGTGATAGAGAGACTGAATAGGGGGTAAATGATTGATAGAGAGAGTGAATAAGGGTAAGTGATTGAAAGAGAGAGAGAGTGAATAGAGTGAATAGGGTAAGTGATAGAGAGAGAGAGAGACTGAATAGGGGGTAAGTGATTGAGACAATGGTAACAATATTGATCTAGTTAACAAAGTGTATTCTTCCACTTAAATTTAAAATTGTGTCATTGTAGGCAGATATTGTGTGGGGTGGAAGAATGAAAGATGATCATGTGGGAAAAACATCTGAGGAAGATTGGAGACTTGACAAGCCAAACTGTAGATAGTGAATACAAGATACTAGTTGATAAAGAATGACTACAATACTTAATGCCATGGACAATACTGGAAAAGCCAGTAAATGTATTTTTACTGAAACACAAGGAGCAAAACAATAAAGATAAAGACAGTAATTAAAAAAAAATTCATAGAGTAAAATATTAATTGCTTCATTCCAGCCAACAACATAAAAGATTGCAGCTTTCACCCTTGCAGAGTTCCAAGCCCCCCCCCCACTTTCCCATGGGCACCAAAATATTACAAACCTATTGTGACTACTTCATTGACAAATGTTCAGATGAGTGTTATTTCTTTAATGCCACAAATAATCCAAGCATTTGCTGTTAAGTTCCACCTTGATATGTCCACACTTTAATTTCCTCTGTATTTCATTAGTAAGGAGGAAGTTCCACTCAGACAGCTTCCTCCCAAGAACTGCTAGTTTGTGGAATAGACTCCTGTGTAGGACACTTCTCTGGAAACTACAATCTTAATCTCTTCAAAATCAAGTATCAGTTGTTATCTATCCTCATAATATTCACTTCCTACTTCCCTTTATCTTCATATTACACAGCCTCATTCAGTAACCCTCTGCCTTGAGTGGCTCTTCAGCCTTATATCGGATGAACATTAAGAAAAAGAAAAAAATTCCTCATAATTCTGATTTCCCTGAAAAATTCCATTGATATTCCTTGATTTCAGGACATTATGTGACAGACAGTACATTGATAGCTGTGTTGGAGTACAGCTAGAATGGTTGGCTGGTTCTATTTAGTGTCATATCAACCGCTATGGGTTATTTAGTGACAAAATCTAAATATTTTGGATGCAATTTTATTTTTTTGGAGAAAAAAAATGGTTTCAGTGGTAGGTAGATTCACACATTTAACAAGTGTAATTGCGTGTAAGTGCAAGTAACGAACCCAACTGGATTTGGAACTCGGCTCTCGAGTTAACAATTTCTGAGCCATTATCCATTACACCACTTGCACATCCAAGCATACAGCACCTGATATTCCAGGCAGTCACCCACCTAAGTACTGACCAGGCTCAGCATTGCTTAACTTTGGTGATCATAGAAGTACAGCTAAAAAGAGGAATAGACAACACACATTAGAGAATGAAAACTTTTTCATCATATACAATGTAACATCTCGACTCCAAATCTAAGACAGTCTAGTTAATTACTTTTTTGACTTTTTAAGTTTTGCAATGTTCCTGTCAATGTCACTTTGTTCATCTCGATGTTCTCTTAACTTTAAAATGTTTCCTTTTTTATTTTTTTAGAAGGTTTTAGTTTATTCAGCTACTCTTTTCCTTTTGCCTTCTCTTCTTCAGCTGATACTTTTTTTTTTTCCTGGCCATGTTATAAACATTCTTGATAACAAGAACAAGCCTGGCCATCTTCCCATATTACTCAATGAAATTGTCTTTTGGCAAAAGCAGCACAGAATTTTATTAGGATCATCTATCACTGGCATGACCCATGAAGCATTTTTAGGACTAAGACTTTGGTCCATCCATTCAAAATGAAAAGGAGGAAACATTTTTATTCAAATTTTTCTATCCTATAAAAAAGAAACCACATAAATAACATTTAGTATTTTATGACAATTTTTAATCTAAGGAAAGTATATTATAAGTATATTTTAAGTATATTATAAACATGTCATTTGATGCATATCAAATTGTATCAGAAGATTCATTGATTTCTGTTGATAATATCTTCACTATTTTCTTTTTTAAAACATGACTATTTTTCAATTACCTACTAATTCCCTAATTTCTCTCTTTTCCAGGCTGTGAATCCATCTTGAATGTTCATAATTGTTGTGGAGTGATTTCACAGTGGAGGCTTGTATTTGTACTGTCGGTCCTAAAATAGGTTTGACGGACAAAACGTTAATTTGACTGTTGACTGACTGACTGACTCACTGAGTGACCCCAACGTGACTCTTACTACTCCTACTTATTATAGGTCGGAGAGTCTATTAACTATAGAATAGGTGTGTTCCACTATAACAATAATGATAAACATGAAGATATCGTTTCAAAAACTCAGTTAAAAAAAAAAAAAAACAAAGAAGAAGAAAAACTGCTTTATCCCAAAACTTCAGGCAACAGTACAAAGGTTTGTGTATTCACTCTGGTGTGCTCAAAACAACAAAGATGAAGACACTAGTTCAAATAATTTACTAAATAATTAAAATCTCCTCTTCAGACAAGATTAAAATGGTTAGAGAGCACATTGGCTGAAATGCAAGAAATATGAACACGTGTCTGAATAAATACTGATAATGAAAACACTTCAACTCAGACAAGGATTAAGTTCTTTAAATAGAAGTGAGAGTGATATTAGTTCATTCATTAGGATCTTAGTTTGTGTCTGTCCGCACTTTTTGTTTTTATTGTTTTTTTGAATTTGCGCTCCATTTTCAAGAAATGAATTTTCTAATTTTCTCTCTCTCGACTCTCATTGAGTGTTGGCACCATCATTGCCAACAGTGGAAGGAGCAACACCAAAAACACATTAAAAATGCAAGTACAATTCAGTTTTAATTAATCGAATAATTTGATTACGCCATAAATTTGAAATGAGGAAGTAGCAGGTGATTCAGCAGAAGAAACTTAAAAGGTTTTACTAACGCATTCACTGCAGTAAGAAGTTCTTTGCAAACAGATTGAGAAATTGTTTTCTCTCTTTTCTTTCTTTTGAATTCATTAAAATGTTTTTATTTCCCTTAGATGTGAATTCGGTTTTCAGATTCTAATTTGCCATTTTTGTCTCTCAGAAATGTTGCAAGGGTGTCGTACTGATTTTTATATAACCAGTTCTACATATTCTTGCAACTGGTGTGGGTAAAATGATAATGTCAGCCATATGAATGAAAGATGACATAACAAAACAAAATAACAGATCAATTCATTAATCTTGTAAAGAAACTTAAATACAAATTCAATAACGACATTCCACAATAACAGTAAAAAAGAAATTTAACAACTTAACCAATTTATCTCCCTTGGCATTCACACAGTGAATTATTTGAAATAATATAAATGGAACCTTGCAAGCATAATTCGATTTAATATTTGTGAAACTGATTTTTTTGTGCATACAATTCAGCTAATTCACTTATTTTTTAATGCGTTGTTAAATTTAAAATAAAATATTAGTAATGTCTTAAATCATATATATTTTTAAGTTTACTTATAAGAATTTAGTTCTTTTGAATGTGTTTCATCTGTTTTAACTTTCACTGAATGTTTAAAAATTGTGATCTTTCGTTTACTTAATTCCTTAAGTCACTAAATTTTATTAGTAACATTAGTCATTTAGTGATGTTGTGTTAAGTAATATTTTCAGATAACTTTATAGCAGTTCTTATTTGCACCTGTCAATAATTGGTACAAGAATGTGAAACATTTATGTGTGAGTGCCTACCAAAAATGTAATTGATAGTTAAACCTTTTTGTTATTAATTGTTAATGCTACCATTAATATATTTCTTGTCAGTTGAAGTGCAGACTGTCTTTAAAAATGCAACTGTTTTACTTTTCTTTCTACAAGAAATACAGCATCTGACTCATGAAAGCATCTGTGAATATGAGATATATTTTTAATAAAATCCAAAGAAGCCTGCAATGTTATTGGTCCTGACCTGGCATCTTGCCTTCAGTCACTTTCCCATCATTGTAATGTGGCTTCCCTCTGACTTTTCTATAAATATTTTTATGGTAATTGTTCTGTTTCCTTTATGGTACCTAGACTTTATGAATATAAGTGCAGTACTAGACTGGCAGCAATTGAAATGGCTAGATGCCACCATAAGTTCTATGCTAACAGTTTCACTTTATCTCACTCATAGAACTCTTTTCCAGCTTCTTGTTTCCCAGTCAACTTTGATGTTCAAAATTTAAATGCATTGTCAATCATTACTTTCTTTCTTCTTAATTCTTGTTCATTTATTGTTCTTGCTCTCTGATAGTGTTTTTTTTTTTCCTCATAATCTCTCACACGCAGTAACCCCCTTGTATCTTAGTGGCTTTATTACCTTGCTTGGTGTGAAATGATTAAAGAAAGCACCAGAAAATGCAAATCTGAAATTTTTAGAGGTGTTGATTTAATCATTGGAAATAGGTCAGTTCAAATGAATTTCTTTATCATCAATAAAACAAACTAAAATATTTTACATATGTTTTCTTTATATAATACTACCAACAGAAAATCTGCCATCTTTATATAATACTACCAACAGAAAATCTGCCATCTTTATATAATACTACCAACAGAAAATCTGCCATCTTTATATAATACTACCAACAGAAAATCTGCCATCTTTATAAAACTACCAACAGAAAATTGCCATCTTTTATATAAATACCAACAGAAAATCTGCCATCTTTTAATTACCAACAGAAAATCTGCCATCTTTATATAAATACCAACAGAAAAGCCATCTTTATATAATACTACCAACAGAAAATCTGCCATCTTTATATAATACTACCAACAGAAAATCTGCCATCTCAAAACATTGCAAATGCAGCAAAATCAGATTGTATCAATAAATATCCACTGATTGGATTAATAAATAAAGGGTGACATTCTTTCAAAAGATTGTTTTCAGTATTATGGTCTAAACAGTAGACTATTGTATTTTTGTATAAAATGTGTGAAAACCTCTAGTCCGTAACCAAAATGCTAGACAAATCCTCAAAAATGAATTAAATTAGAAAAAAAAAATTGCCTAAAACATCATTAAAGGCAGGAATTCTTTCAAATATAAAAAAAAATAACCAGTAGATTTTATCACATGTCCTGGGTACCTCAAACCTCTTCTTTGGCAACACTAACTGGAGGCCAAATGTATGGGTTTACAATATATTTTGCATTTTTCAGTATTTGTATTGCATTTAATTTCCATTGAAATGACCAAAAGGCAGCTTGTACCATTTAGTCAAAGCATAATATTTACATTTGTAGTATTTTTTTTAATCATTTCATCCCAAACAAGGCAATAAAGCCACTAATATGCAAGGAGTTACTGTGTGTGAAAGAATATGAGAAAAATAAATTAAGAAAGAGAGAACAATAAAAAAAAAAAAACATTAAGAAAACAGAAAATGAAAATAAACATTGTATTTAAATTTTTAAAGATGAAAGTTGACTGTAAAGCAAGAAGTCAGAAGAGTGTTCCACAAGTGAGAAGTGTGAAAGAAGAAATTTTTTAACCTAGAATTTACAGTTATATTAGATTCTTCCAAATGAAAAGTGATGGGACCTACCTGCCAATCTAGTACTGCAGTTAACTTCATAAAGTCTAGATAGCAAAGAGGAAAGCTCACCAGAATAATTACCATAAAATTATTTATAGAAAAAGTACAGGAAAGCTACATTACGTTAGTGGGAAAGTGACTGACACTGAGACTCCAGGTTAGGACTGATAACATTGCAGATTCTTTTTAGGATTTTATCAAGTATCTTTAAATATATAGCAAAAGTATCAGATTAGATGTAGCAGTAATATTCACTGCATAAATGAATGGTAGACTTATAAAGGCATAAGAGAGATTCTGGCAAGAGAAACTATCTGGCACAGCACAGTGAACCAACTTTCATTGTAGACTCCTAGCAATTGATTCAATAGCTTTCCACTTCATATCAAATATTAACATGAGAAAGCACAATAAGTCACTTTCCAGGGTGTTGGAATCAGTCATGCTGATGAAGGTCAAAAACGCAGTTTCATTTTGGAGGCATTAAAATTAACAATCCATTTGTTGGCACCAGTTAACAACAGATTGAAGGTCATCATTAAAATCAACTGCCAATTTGACTTTATTGAACTTCTATTAGTATCCAGGATTTAAATTGTGTAGACAGCTCGAAAATTGAATTTAATTTTGAATTTGCTTAAAACCTTCAAATTTTGAAATGAATTTAATATAGAAGATATTGATCAAGATATTGATCAAGATATTGATGGCTTGATTTTTTTTTTTTTTACAGTTTATTAGCCATTTGTGGGTTATTTAAAATCAAAACATGTCAAATTATAGGAGGTGGTTAACAGTACC